GGATGATTGGGTTGGAGTACATTCATTCCAAATAAAACGCGGAAAGCAAAATGTGATTGTCCCCTATGAGAAAAGACTATTTATGTAACCTTTCAAAAACAAAATGTTTCCATCAATTTGTCAATTTCCTTTGTCTGAAATTTTGCCTAATTATTTTACTTAGGCACAAGACAACCTCAGGATTTCCATTCGGGGAAAATTTCTTACGGTTCCAAGTCTCCTGGCTCCTTCAGATTTTCCAAACAGATCTTCAAAATAGTTGAGTTCTAAGCTCTCCGCCCAATTGCGGTGGTGGTTTACACGAATTACTGTAGTATGAGCTTGAGTACCTTGTAGACTATATTTTTATCAGCTTAATCATTGTTGTAAGATATGTATACACTATATACGGTTAACTATGAAAAGCTTAAAAATTACGTCTCAGCCAAAGAGTCGTTAAAAGTTAAGACCCTATTGAAAAGCTTATGCCTTCGGAAGGCAACAAACGCTTGTCCTATTAAGAAAAAAAGGTAAACCTGAAAAATCATAATATTGATATTTTCAAGGGAAGTTACTTCAATAGTTAACTTTGTTAAAGTATAGATGTATTAAGTTGTGTTATTGTATAAAAAATATTGTGGTCTGTTGAAAAATGATTATATTACAAATTGAAACTACATTCGTTGTAAAAGCTTTAAAAAATGTACAGGCTGTTTGCACAAAGACGTCTTTTTAGTATCATTTCGTTTTTCTCTCAATTAATCTTAATTCGGTAATCCAAGTGAGGTTTAAATTACAAAAGCCCAAATTTTCACAAGAAAACAAAAACAGCCTGAAAGCCTGGTATAGCAGTGACGCCATAATGAAAATGGCCTATTCTTCTTCTTGTAAAAAATCCTTAGTGAAAACGTTCTTTAGTGTTTAGTATGTGCTACACTAGAATTGAAGTACCGTAAATGATCGATTAAGCGCTGCGGCGCCTTCTTCATTTTCCCTTTTAAAAATACGGCTCTTATTTCATTTTCCCTGTTAAAAATGCGGCGCTTATTTCAACCACGGGTAAAACTTTCCTCTATGCAAATACAGCCGGGTCAGCTTTGTCTAGGTGAAACAATCAGTGCATGCGGAAGCGCTGTTAGCCTGAGTAACTTCTGGTTAAGTCTGTCTGCGAAACAGCGCGGACATCCCTGTTCGGGCCCACACACGTGTACCAGAATTTGAGTACACGCCATGATTAGCCTGTGAAAAAAGCCATTGTCAATTTGCCAATCATGTTGAAGGGAAATTCGAAACGCATTTCCGGTAATTTCTTGAGCCCGTTTTGGGGCAGAGAACAAGGATATCGGCGCTTCTTCGCAGACGTTACTAGCCGGGGTTAGATTACGTCTGCTACGCAGGCTAAAACGCTGTTGGCTCGCTGGCAAAGGGGTAAACTTTTTTCTCTCATAGCCTCTCACTAACGTTGACTCGGGAGGGTGACACTTCTACCCAGGTCAGGTTTTCCCAAAAATACGAGGCATAACTAGGTGCCATCACAGCAAACACTGTGTTAACTACTTCGAGATATTGAAATCTTGTAGAGCTTGTCTGTTGTCAAGCTTCCCAACTGATTGTCAGGTGCCACTCAACTAAAACATTTTCCGTTTGTGAATTTTACTACCTCTCTGCATCATTCCCGTTGGCGTCTCTGCGAGGATTCCGTGCAACAGCTCGAAGTCTCTGAACCAAGTGCAGAGTTGATTTATTCTGGACATTGTAATGATTCAGAGTAAGGTCGTCTTCTAGTTTCTTACCAGCAAATACCAGACGTAGCTGATCTGATGGACATTTGCATAATCGGTGAATCTTCTTCTTAACACTACTGATAGAGTCGCTCGGGTTCACTGCTATGGTGGCCAATGTATCATCCATCATTTTGATTGAGATTTGTATTTCATCTGGGAAAAAAGGGTAAATAGATGTAGTTTTTTTATAAATTTCAGCCGAAAGAACAAGTTTGGAGCTTCCTCCAAAAGGTATGAACCCAATATCCCTTAAAAGGTCAACAATTAGTCTTCTAATCCTAACTGTTAACTTCGGGTGCATTTATTACTACTCGAAACGCTCGCAGCAGACCCATATTTCACTAAGATACCAGTTTGATTCCCGAGGTTTGTTAGTGGCACACTTTGCCTCGATTTCGTGTGGATCAGCAACACAGCTTACCATTGCAACGTTGGCTCAAGCACGTGCTTTCTGTTCACCGTCCTTTCGCGAAATATGATAACTAAACGCTCTGCTCGCAGCACGTCACCTTCCAAAAGGAACCATTAGTTCTTTACTTTTAAGATGATTGTGACTACTCTTCATCAGAGTCCCTAATTTAAACAATCTTTAAAAAGAAGTTCGCTACCAACTCACCAATTACATGAATATCCCGATCAACTTTCATTTTTCACGTGACGAAAACCAGACTCATAATATCAAACTGTTTGCGACATTTGCAGGGTTGATCCTCGCCAAGCCGTTCCAAAATAAACTTATCTGCCTTTACATTTTGTTTGTTGATGTTGTGTAATAGAGCCAAAATTTACCGTTTTCTCCTGTGAACTCATTCCGCATCCGTTTGTCAACTACAATGACGTGAATTTTAATATAGAAGAAAATTCAAAATTCGATCAATTTTCAATTTTTGTTTTCGGACAAAGGATTAATCACTCCATCACATGCCAAGTTACAAAAGTACCAAGACGGGAGGTCCCACGTGCAGAAGTGCACGGGAGGGGAGGGGAGGGAGGGGGAAGGGACTAAAGTGGAAAGGACTTGTCCATGCTACCCTCATTCACAGGGCCTACTTAGCCTGGACGGGTATGTGCCGCTGGTGTCCTTTTGGATCGGTAGCCTTGAAAAGAGTGTGAAAGTTGGCGATGAGCAGTTTACATTTGTGGTACAGTCAAACCTTGTTAATATGGACACTAAGGGGGCTATAGAAAGTGTCCCTATTAAGGAGGGGTCCGTATTAAGCGGCGATAGAAAATGTAAGGGATCTCTTTCCCCAAGAACAAAGCAACAGTCCATAATAATTACAAAAACAAAAATGAAGTTAGTTAAAAAGATTACTTAACTGGGGCATAAAAACAGCAGTCTCTTGTTTTAAAATGGGTCTGGAAATGAGCGATTTTGTCTTAAACAGGGTTAGGGTTTGAAGGCCTCGACGGCACACCTCTACCCAAACTCCCTTTGTGTGCCCCTCCTCCTGAGATTTTTACCCTTAAGAGGAGTTTGTTTGAAGTGGACCTTGTAGCGATTTTCAGTTGCTCTTTTTTTTTCAAGACTTTTAAGGGTTGTTCCGACTGTTCCGGCAGCACAAAAATTATTTTGCTATTTTCAGCAAGTAACAATCGGCTCTCTCGATCTTTCATTATCCTACCTCCTCTCTCCTCTACTTCGTCCATTTTCTCCCCCACACTTGGAATAAAAAAAATGAGAATTTAGATGCACGCCATAACAAAATGAACAGGCAGTGAAGGCTTATCTACAGCAAAAAAAAAACTTTCTTTTTTCTTTACAAAAAAATCACAGAAAATGTTCAAACAAACGTATCCACCCGAGCAAGCGATTTTGGGCGTGTATTTTACTTTTTTCAAGCAAAACCTTCTTACGGACCGCGAACTAAAGCCTGCTCTTTAATTCCAGGATCCGTTTCTTGTAGCAACAAATTTGGCTAGTGAATGTGCCCCCTGTGTCACAACAAGATCTCACACAAACTCGACGTTTATGGTGTCCATATTTAGACTGAAAACAGCTCCAATGTTGGATTTCCCGAATTTCCCGCTTCTTTTCAAAAGCTCGTTCTCAGGACCTATGGCAGACAAGTACAGGGTCCGACACAGAGCCTCACCTCCTCACTTCAGTCTCTTCCCCCTCCCCTGGTCCGTGTGGTTTTCGTCCATTTGATTTTTATTCCAAATTGAAAATTGAAAATCAAAAATTTACAATCATGATTTTCAATGTTCGATTCCTCAAGAACTGAAAATCACAAATTTACAATCTCAATTGTCAATTTTTGTTTCTAAGAAACATAAAATTGAAAAACAATTTTCAATGTTTTGAAAATCAAAAATTGAAAATTGAAAATGTTCAGTTGGTGGTTTTTATTTCTTGTTTTTAAGGAAAAGGAAAACTAAATGATAATTTTCAATTTGCAATTTTGAGATTTTTGCCTGGTACCGAAGTTAAAATTGTATTTTCGATTTCCTATTCCATAGCTTCAGGCTTATTAGAAATTCAAACTTGACAAAGCTATTCATGTGTAACGAAAAAAAACAGTAAAACAGTATCAGTGATGATGAAATCCGAAATGAAAATCGGTTTTTGATTTTCGTATTCGAGAAAAACAAAAATTGAAAACAGACCAAATATAACTGTGACGGGTGGGGTGGGTAAAACCGGAAGTGGCGCGACTGCAAACAAGATGGCGGTCGTCTTGTAGTGAAGGAGGGGAGTCCATGTCTTCGCCGAGATGTTACGCCAACAGCAATCCAAAGCTTGCCTGTATCATGACCGAGACGTTTTCAAAGAAATGATCTGAATGTTTTTTCTCTGATAAGTATGATTTTGTTGTAACCTTGCAGCATTATATGTACGCAACGGAGCCGGGTAGAGCGTCTAAGATCAGCTGCGAACTGTGGACTGCGGCCGGACTGCGGACTAAGGACTAAGGACCACGGACTGCGGACTGCGAACTGGGTGCATATAAAATACGGACCAGGTATAAAATGCGAACTACGTGCTAGTTTAGTCTGATAATATTGTCACTCGACCTCAACCATGTATAACTCCTTTAATGTTGTTGTTAAACTGAAGGAATTTTGGCTCTAACAAGAAAATCTTTTGAAGATTTTTCCTTCCGATAAAAACGAATGGGGGCGCGGGGGGGGGGTCCGTGGGTTATTCGTCCATTTCAACTCAAAGCAAAACTGAAAATCGATGTCAATTTTTGATTCTCGTATCTTTTTCTTCCTGTATAATGCCTAAACATGTCTCATAACTTTTTTTGCCGTTTTCCACTGTGTCAAAAATGAAAAAAATAAATACACAGCTCTTTATACAGTCGATATTAAAACGAAGAGTCAAACGATTAATATTTTCAAAATTCAAAATTAAATGTTGCGATTAATTTTCGATTTTTGTTTTTCGGTGTAAAAATTGATCAACTGATCACGCTCCAAGTGATAAAAGTACCTAGAGGGGAAGACCCACGTGTAGAAGTGCCTAGGTGGGGAGGGGAGGGAAGGGGGAAGCGACGAAAGCGGGGAGGAAGGGTCCTTGCATTTGTTGTGCTTGTCCATGCTGCCCTCATTTTCAGGGCTTACTTGGCTTGCACAGGTATGTGCCGCTGAACAGGCTGTGGATTTCTGACTAATCGGCTTCTGCCTTTAACAGGTTGTCGCCTGAAAAAAGTGTGAAGGCTGGCGATGAGCGGTCAACATGTTTGGAACCAACAATGTTTTTCAGAGAATCTCAGTTCCATTATATTAGTATAAAAAATTACTTGATTCTTCGTGCAAAACGAAATGAGTCAGGGTCATGAAATTACTTCCCTTGTCTTAAACAGGGTAGCGAAATGAGCGATTTTTGTCTTAAATTGTAGATTTCGATTTTTGTCGACGGTTTGATGAAAATATCTACGAGCGTACGTGGTCGGGAAACGATAGGGACGTGGAAAAGTGGGTCGGCTCGACAGCACACTAATGCTTGGAATAATACATGTACCGCCAAATTTGAATAAATTTGGCGCATTTTGGTAAGTAATTCCTGGGGTTTTGCAGTGAATGCGGTATAGCATGATCACCGGACCTTAATGTCCTACTTTGAGAGCAATGAGTTTCATATGCTATTATCATTTCATGTTCTTATTTTTTCGGATCACAGTTTTAATCCAGACTAAACTGCTGCCAATTTTAGAGTGGTTTCACTTGCCCACATAAAAGATTCTTAGGAAATTATATACCCTTTTATATTTCAGGTACGTTCAGTGGCTACCGTATGTAATAAAATGATATTTTAGAGTACGGGTAAAAGTTCGAAAAACGACAAGGCTAACTATTTTTGAAGATGTCTTTCAGTAAGGTATAGAAGGTCTAGAATAATTAGTACCTACGTCATGGATGTAAAGTAGGATCAGTGTAGAATATGTTGTACCTCTCACTATCCGCGGTCAAAAACGTAAATAAGAAATGGCTAACCTGATTTGCAAAGAACACCGTGACGACGAATACTTTGAACTTACCCACACGTGGAACGTGGCATGTACTTGGACTAGACATCACGAAATCTTTGCTGTCAAGAAAAACTGCCTCAGACCCCCATTCGTAAACTAAACGCAGACTAAGAACCGCATCTGTCTTTGATGTCACACTTCGCATCGAAAGAGGGCACTGTGTGACTTCTGACCTGTTCAAATCTACTACATGCGCTCTCAATTCTTTTCTCAGGACGTCTAGTAGCTCCAACAGTTTCTCCTTGTGTGTAGAAAAAAAGACAACGCGGAGATTCGACGAACCTTTGACTTCCGTCATCACTACTGTGACATCGTGAAAACAGGTTACACATTCTTTGAGAGCATTCTTGCTGGAAGCCGCTAGCATGGCTGTTGACTGAAAAGTTCCTTTTGAATAGGTATCTCCATTGACGTACACACGTGCAAAAGCATGTAGGTGAAGCTCATCGTTGGACTGTTTCTTGATGCGGAACAACTCAGAGTACGTGTTATCGAATTGGTCATACTTGACTCCTTCACGGGAACAGGACAAAGGAACATTTTTTGAGTCACTTAGTTCAAACCTCACTAGTTTTGAAGGATCAAACTTTGCGAAGTGAATCAGACTCAATAAAACATTGGAGAGATCACGTACAGAGAAATCATCAATTTTATCACGGTTGGCCATGATGTCTTTAATGCTGCAAGAAAACAGATCAAGTCTCTTGTGCAATCTTATATCTTGCGGACAGTACTGGAAAAACGACTTCAGAAAGTTCAGCATTGGGAGAACTGCCAGACTTTTGCTCCACTTTTCAAATTCCGTGATTGGCTGATTACGGTCATAATTTGCCGTGCACAATTGCTCAAGAATGTTGCAGAACTCGCAAACAAGCTGGGGCAAATTGTCGTTTTCTTCAGCATTCCGCACAGCAGACACAAAATTGCCCAGTTTGTCCTTAGGAAGCCCTCTTAAGCCATTTTGGGGAACTTCTGACATCCTGTCCTCTATAAAGATATCCTTTATGTTCTGAATCAGGAAAGGGACAATCACAATAAATGTCTTGATGATGGATTCTTGCGACGACTCTGCAAGTAATTGATGGTACTTTTCTGCAATATCTTCTGGGATTGGACTAAGAATCTCCATTGACTGAATGAGATACTCTGCGTGATTTGTAAAGGAGGCTGCTCTTTCAACATCGTCGGAATAACTTTCTAATTCAATGCAACAGTCCCTGAAAACAGACTTGCAAAGGGCTTGTATTTTGTGGATAAAATAGCTCTGTGAATCAGCATTCATGCATTGCAAACCCGAGATTTTGCTTGCAAGTTTTCTTACGTGCCTTATATACATCTGTCCTCTTTCTGTTACTTTGATATCTGGTGAGAATAAATATTTAAAAACGAAACCTGTCAGAATGGGGGACAGTGGTAAGTGGTTCTAATCATCCGTTTTCGCGACTGAGAATTTTTTTACAGATGAATGGAATTAACTTAAATCTTGGAAGATACAAACAGGACGCGTTCAAAAACTTTTTCAGGGGACGCAATTTACTAAACATTATAAGAAGACAAAAAAAATTCGTCTAAGGAATATATATATACACTTTCGTTTTCAAAAAGGTTTTCATACAGAGATAGATATATACTTTTGTTTTCTTGCACGTAAGCTGTGTGCATTTTTCACTTGTCATTGTCCAACATGTGAAAAATCTCGCTTCAAGGATAAATTTACTCTTCGTCAGGTTCTTTGTTCCAATTTGACAAAAAAAGAGTGCACGAAAAACATCTGGAGTTCACGTTTTCTATAAAAGCTCTGTCTTTTCACTTGAGAACTACCATACGTGTGCATAAACATATCCTCTAATACTTGAAATGGTTATACTGCTGAAAATCTTATCAAGGAGGAGAGACTTTTTTTCAGCGAGACAGCATTCCTATTTTGCTATCACGCACTGTGAATTCTCGGAAGTTCAAATTGCTGTATTTTCTAAATGAAACATGCTACAGGAATGGACACTTGTACAAAGATTTACTTTTTGTTTATCTTCAACCTAGTGTAAATAAGAATTCCTAAAACCTCGCTATTTTGACTTTACAATTTGATGAAGGCACTGTGAAAACCATCTATAGATTCCATGACATTTCGCCTACCAATTCGGTGACTTCCGTTTCTACAGAACGACACCGAATAATTTGTTTAAAAAAAAATCGTTTTTGTGTTACGCCTTAAATCAGTCTTATAATTCGCCATTGCAAATTTGTATTGGAGGGCCGGCGCATGCGATCCGTGCACACTTCGGCCAATCTAATTTTTCATTTTTCCAACAAAAACAGAAAAAGGAAATATCACTTATCCTTATCATATTTACATATTTTAAAGTACAGACAAAAATAGAAAAAAAGAAAATGGTCAGGAAAATCGATCATTTTTTTATTTATCTAATTTTAGAGTCAAATTCAAAAATACAAAAAATACTGTAAACGGCTAAAAGCGATATTTTGCTATTTTTTTATTTTCTTGCTATTGTTAGAAAATGAGAAAAATGAAATAATCTCCGATTCCTAACTCTTTTTTCTATTTTTCCGTTGTTCGCAAAAAATAAAAAAACGGAAAAATGAAAAAATCATATTTATTTGCACCATTTTTTCATTTTTTCCATTTTGTTCAAAAAATAGAAAAATAGCAAACCTATCGCCTAATTTTCCATAATGCCATTTTAGCAAGAAAAAGGAAAATATGATAAGTGTTGCGAGCAATTTTCTGTTTTTCCTTTTTTTTTTTTTGATAAATAGAAAAACTTTAAAACGATACACCCTTTCAGACATTTTCATTTTTTATTTTATTGAAAAATGACGCAGAAAAGTGAGAAGTTATGAATATTTTAACGGTGAAGAAAAGAAAAACCTAATTCGTATCCACTATCGACTGACTAATTTGGTTAGGGTCGGCGGAGATGTGGGGGAATTTTAAGTGGGGGGGCGGCTTAGTTTTCGAGATGCGGACGTAGTTCCATTCACTTTTGATCTCGATTTCCCTGAAGGTTTGAGGTGTCGGGAGTCGACTGTGGATGAAAGCGGCGGGAATACCGTACCGACCGTGGAAATGAAGAATATTAGAAAGGGTACGAGGGAGGAGCTACGAGAAGGCGTGAAAATTGGTACGGGAAAAGGGGGGGGGGGGGTAAATCAACGGTTTTACTGCCAGGAACACTATGGTCCCAGCACAAAAAAAGCGGTTCGTGAGAGAGATTAAGGGGAAGGAGTTAAGAAGAAGGTCGTTGAACAGTCACGTGCACAAAATAAATAGAAAGCACGCCAGTAAAGAGGTCAGAAGCTTTTAAATGAAATAGATGCTTAAAAGTAGACTGCTTAGCCTGCCGAAATAACGAATCTTGCCGCAGAACGGGTGTTTTAGGATTGCAAGAGTAAAGTATATTGAATTAATATTATGGAGGAGAAACATCACGAGGCGCCTAGTATACACTCGCGAGAGAGAACATCTTAATGATCTGGCCCATACATTTGCTCATACATTTGTTTAAACGTTGGATAGCGACGATCCACCGGATAAATCACTATCCAGCGGCCTGATAATGTTTTATGTATTTTAGGGAAACCAATTGCGTTATCCACTGGATAGTTATTTATCCAGCCGATAGCGTTATCCACCTTTTAAGCAACTCAGCCCTGGAAAGACGAGAGCAAAGATCGCTAATGTCGGGACACCCATGCAACAAGTATGGGGAAACGTTCCACAGTTTTAATGCAACAGGAACACTTTATGGTGACGCAGTGTTAGAACAGGTCACAGAGTGAGTCCTAAGTAATGAGGTACACTCGGAATCAGCTAATCAAATCCAAACGTGAATGAAACTACGTTCGCATTCCGATAACTAAAGGGCCCCCACCCGCCCTCCCCATCCCACGACTCCGCCGACACTGTGTAAATCGTCTGACAAAACTAGTTAGTCTAAAGTGGATTAGGTTTTTCTTTTCTTTATTGGTAAATGGTCATGATTTGTCATTTTTCTTTGCTATTTTTCATCAAAACAAAAGATGAAAAATTGTCCGTTTTTGTCTGTTTGTTTGTTTTCTATTTATTGAAAAGATGGAAAAATTATTCGCAACACTTGTCATTTTTTTCACTTTTCTTGCTAAAATGGAATTATGGAAAATGAGGCGATAGGTATGCCATTTTTCAATTTTTTCATGTTTTGAACAAAATAGAAAATATGAAAAAATGGTGCGAATAAATATGATTTTTTCATTTTTCTCTTTTTCTATTTTTTGGGAAAAACGGAGAAATAGAAAAATGATCTAGGACTCGGAGATTATTTTTTTCCCTCACTTTTCTAACAATATCAAGGAAATAAAAATAGCAAAATATCGCTTTTAGCCGTTAACAGTATTTTTTGTATTTTTGAATTTAACTTCAAAATTAGAAAAATGAAAAAATGATTGATTTTCCCTGACCATTTTCTTTTTTTCTTTTTTTTTGAAATATGCAAATATGATAAGGGTAAGTATTATTTCCTTTCTCCGTTTTTGTTGGAAAAATGGAAAATTAGATTGGCCGGAGTGTGCACGGACCTGCACGGACCAAAATAGATTGGACATCTATGCTAAACACACATGCTACACAGGGAAGGGCAAAGTAAGTACACAGAGGTAGTGTGCTATATGTTGCAAGTGAATTTTCTGTGTATTAGTCGTTATAAATCTTCTGAGTAATTTCCTGTTCGTGTTCGTTCCGTGATGGCAGAGCTACCGACATTTTTAAAAGCCGGATAATCATTCCTTTGTAACTGGCGCAAGTTAAAGTTAGTAGAGAAGAAATCCAATAGACAGAAAAAAATCTATAGTTAACGATGTAATTTGAATAGTAATTTTGTTCTTTTGGCAACATAACTACAGTTTTATGACCATCCAGGACCTACAAGAGAACGAACATTTTGGACAACTTACCCTTTTGTTTTAAGCTTTCGAGACTTTTCCTGAGAACAGCAAGGTTATCAACGAAATCTCTCTCCTTTGACCAGTCTTCTAAAATCATTTCCAGATCTTCGTCTTCATCGTTTTGAGATTTAGCAATTTGATTAATGGACTCTTCGGGAATCCCAAGCAAATGAGCAATAGGAATAACGTTGAAAATGACTCCCTCTACACCTAGTAGGTTTCTTACATAGCCACACAGTTCTGTGGAGAGAAAAATATTGTACTAGGACTTAGGATGCTTTAGGATATTATATTTTTAACTCTAGGTATTGCTTTCAGTGTTTGAATTCAATGTCAATATGCGCATCACTTCTTCAACAATGTCAAACATTCTTTCATAAAAATTAATATAAGTCATCGTGTGTTTAAGATGTTAAAGCTCTCACACTAACCCCGTTCTCTGAAATGCCTCTCACTTGTATGTCCATACTGTCCTGTCACACTGACCTTCCCACACAGACTTCTAACATTTTTTTTCCACTCAAGAGGAATTCTCATAACTTTTCCTTCATGCCACCAATCATAAGAATTTACGGTCAAACAAATACTTTCTTGCTCCTTGTTAGCTAGCTTGTAGTCTTCCCCAAGGTGAATGTTAATCTGAAGGGTTTCATTGTTGTAGATGCTTTTTTCCTCCTCGCTAGCAACGGAACGTACGTGCAGTTCTTTGAATCCTTCTTTTTTAAGTAGCATCAAAGCAGACGACGTCTCGTCTTCTCTATAGAATTGCTCACAATAGACATCTTGGCTGACGAACAGAAGAGCAAGTTCATCATGCACTGAAGAGGGATTGCTCTTTAGCAACACAGACAAAGTGTAATTAAAAGGTACCAAGTTGAGCCTTGTTACAATGTCTTTGGTACAAAGCAAAGTAGATCTGCCTAATCTTAACAAAATCGCAATGAGTGAAAAATGATAAATTTCAATGTCTACTCCTGCATTTGCCTCATCAATCCTCGAGTTGTGAGTTATGTCATGCCAAGTAATATTTCCTTCCCTGGCCTTAAATCCGTGTAAAATGAAAACGTCGTGACAACTAAATCTACTCTCAACTTTTGTTGCCAGCGTCAAAGGTTTCTTGAAATAATGTCCAGTGGGTTCAATATTAATGACGGGTGCACCAAACATGACATCATTTTCAAGATCCCTCCGAACAATTAGTCCATAGTACTTGGAAGGGTCGTCTAAGTGCACAGTTATGCTCAAGGTTCGCAGGCGACTATCAAGAGCTCCAGGAGGACAAGCCAGTGTAACGCTTGGTCCAATATTGAATACTTTATCTTCTCTGTTGGTCACAATGTTAGATGAAATTCGTGTGTACCTCGAAGGTGGGTTTTCCCTCATGGCTATTTTTGAGCTATCTTTAATTGTGAAACAAGAATAACAATAACAATTAACTAGATTATAATTCTGTTAATTTTGAGTGAAAATTGAAAAGTCAGCGATACAGCTTGCAAAGACAGAGTGGCGTTCAAGACCCTGTAACCGCTCGGGCTTGAGTCACGCAAGCGTCCTAGGACGGGGAATAGGCTGCTGGTCTATATCAGAGATTTCGAAGCCGTTCAACAAGCTCGCAATCGTGTATTATCAGGACGGTGAAAAAACTCTCGGCTTCGTCTCGAGTTTTACTAGTAATCTCGTACCTAGATCTCTTGTTTAAAAGACCACAATCCAGAAATCAACAACCCGATTCCCGTTGATAAACTATATGACTCCAACTCAAAAGACCAGCTACTAGTGATCCTCTAAACAAACTTGATGACCCCATTTCTGAAACTGACATCATATCAGCTAGCAAAAAACGTAAAACTAAAAAGGCACCTGGCCTAAATAGAATTCGCAACGAAATGTTGAAATGTGGTATTCATTACCTTGCATTCTCATTATCCATTCTTTTTAACACTATCCTAAAATCTGGATATTTCCTAGCCTCCCACGCAGGCGATTTTAGGGGAGCTCGTATTTCTTGTGGGGAGGGACGAAATACGAGCTCCCCTAAAAACGCCTGCGTGGGAGGCTAGATATTTCCCTGCCAGTTGGTCAAAAGGAATGATTACTGGAATCTATAAATCGGGTGACAAATCTGATCCTTCGAACTATCGTGGAATTTGTGTCTCTAGCTGTTTAAACAAATTATTTTGTTCCATCTTGAATCAAAGATAACACAATTTCATACAAGAACGCAGCCTGCTACATCCTTCCCAGATTGGATTTCTCCTAGGATTTCGCACTACTGATTATATCTTTTCATTACGTACCATTATTGATAAGAATGTAACCCATACACCTTAAGGTAAACTCTTCTGCTGTTTTATAGATTTTATAGCTTTTGACTCCGTATGGCACCCTGGACTATTTAAGAAACTTTCACATTACGGCATAACGGGTTCAGTCTATAACAATCTCTTAAATATGTATTCACGAACGAAATGTGCATAAAATGTGGGAAGAAAAGAACTGATTATTTTACCTATGGAAGAGGTGTACGACAAGGATGTGTCCTTTACCCTCTTCTATTCGATTTATATTTGAATGAAATTCCCAATCCATTAAAAGCATGCAATTTTAATGACCCAATTATTCTCGCAAATGGTTTACCATTAAGCTGTTTATTCTATGCTGATGATGTAGTTTTATTCTCAAGTAGTGCTACTGGTCTTCAGAACAAGCCTAAATATCTTTCAGCAATACTGCAAAAACTGGAAACTCCCCATAAATCTAAAAAAAAAAACAAAAATCATGATATTTGAGAAACAATGCCGTCAACGCTTGAGAAAAATTCCTTTTTCATAGATGATGACCATATTGAAATTTCACAAGACTATTCCTATTTAGGACTTTCCTTTTTTCCTAATGGTAACTTCTCAAATTCAAAGTGAAAACTGATCGAAAAATGTAGACGCTGTATTTTTGCAACAAAATGTTTTCTTGACTTCCAAAAATTATCAATTGATACTTGCAACAAACTTTTTTAACACACTGTTCAAACCTATATTGTGGTATACCTCAGAAGTGTGGGGTGCGTTTGACAAACTGAATCTTGATAAATGGGAACAGGACCCTGTAGAAAGATTTCAATTATAAATACTTTCTTGGATTAAGCAGAGGGGCTGCCAATATTGTCGCTCGAAAGGAAGTTGGGCAAACATATTTAAAACCAACAATTTATTTGAATATCCTCAAGGTTCTAGGAACATTTAGAAGAACTACCCGAAAATAGCATTGCGAAGCAGTGTCTCGTCATATCAAAAACATTAGCAAATACAGAAAATCATTCCTTTATCTCTTCCGCATACCAAATACGCTCACAGTTTTGCAAAGAAGGATAAACAAACACCACAGGACTTAATGATGTTCAACAAATAAATAAATTAGAGATATTTAATTTGACACAAAATATTCTTAAGATAGCTAAAACACATCAATCCTCTCTCATTCAACTAACTAAGAAACTAAAATTTTACTCTCTTTTCAAACAAGACAACAAGAAATCTGAAATTTGTTTGATATCTTCTTCACAACTCTACAGGACCATTTTGTGTTATTTACGTCCCCTGAAAAGGGCTTTTCTTATTGTACTCTTGTACATTTTCACACACAGATGTACAAACACCAACCTTGTCTAAGGACTTTAGTACCGACTTCAAAAAAAGGGAAACAGCTCCTCCTCCAACGTTTTCTTTGATGTTGTCAAGTTATTAATGTTTCTCTCATTTAATGCTTTAGGAGGTCTATTCATTAGAATATTATAGAATAATATAAGAGAAATTGTTCGCTCAAAGGGACACTTAGTTAACTGGATTTGCCCCCTGGCATGGTTGATAGCTGAAACTTGATATCATGAAATTATAATGACGTACCGTAAAATTCCGAAAATAAGCCCCTCCAAATATAACCCCCCCACAAACCGGTAACGTAAAAAACCTCCGTTAAATCGCCCCTCCAAATATAAGCCCCCCGGGGGCTTTTAATTGGAAAATTGCTCTCAAATACAAAGTAAAACAAAGCAAAATAAAGTAAATTTACTTATGTTGAGACGCAAATTTCCCTCCTTAGATAAGCCCCTACAAAAATAAACCCCTGAAAAAGGGCCTTTGAAAAATATAAGCCTCCAGGCCTTTTTTCGGAATTTTACGGTATATGACTCGGAGCAGCAAGCCATTAATTCACAGGGCCATTTAGAAAATTATGCGGAATCGGACTGTTCTGAAATGGATGGCTTTGCCGAACGTAGTTTTCAGGTGCTGTTCGTTCCTGACGCTGTAGTGGAAAACGTTATGGTACAAAATCAATGAATTCATGTTAACTAGATGGCTGGTATAGTAGTGGTGGTGGGAAGGTGGGGAAGGTGGGGGAGGTGGGTTCGTCATAATTTATAAGTGATCATTTTGTAAGCCCCACCCTCCCCTCCCTCTGATAGTTATTGCACAGTCCCTAACAGCATTTCGATGGTACATTAATTACAACTAATTTCAATTTATTTAGCCGTCTTTCTAATCGCAGAATACACATTTCCAGGGTGTAGGAGGTGAATTTAGATAGAGGTGATGAGTTCGACAAATTCACATAGATACAAACGTGACCTTTTGAAGCCGCCAAAGAAAGTACGTGTTTTCCGAGAGGTCCGTTAGAATCAGTGACGGAGGCGAAAAACGTAAACGGTAGTTATATTTCTGACGTGCGGTCGCATGTTATTGCAAAGCGCGGCAATAGGAGCGAAGAAATTGCTGGTAGATGACAAAATAACAGCTAGTGCCAAAGAAATATGTCTCCTGGGTGTTGTATGCAAAGTTTCGAATAGAAAAACATTGTCTGCTGAAACATTTTGCCTTCCTGAAAAACGTTTGCAATCAATATTAAACTTTGTGCTTCGAGTTACTTATTGTTTTTTTACAAGCCGCTGATTGGCCGACAACCACCTTTGTTGGAATGTATTGTTATTTTACTTAAAGGCCAATAGAAAAGACAACCAATAATGCTGACTTTTTTTAGCTGATCTAATATGAACAAAACATTATTTGTATGTCATCAAAATATAGCAAAGGTCTCATTGTAATTTGCACCAAAACCATGTACAATTCTAGTCACGTGATGTTTTAGCTTATTTCTATATAACACAACAGGCGTGGATTCAGGATCTCAAGGATCTTGCCGGTACCCATTTATACACCTGGGTAAAGAGAAATAAAGTGGAGTAAAGTTCCTCGTCTAAGGAAACAGCGCGACGGGCGAGGCTTGAACCCCGGACTTCCAGATCTAGAGTTCCAGTGGTTAACCGCTCAGCCATGCGCGCCTCAACAGGAATAGCCAAAAATCAAATAACGTATAAGAAATTTTCAGCCCAAAAGGAACAACTAGGTAAATGTAAGTGGAGGGTGGTAGTGGTGGTGGTGAGATGGGGAGGCGGGGCTCGTCAAAATTTACGAGTTATCAGGGGGCGGGCAGAGCTAAGCTTGCCTTTGTTGACAAGGGGGCGCTAACGTACACGCTAGGAAAGGGGGGCCTCAAAAGAACCTCCCTGGTCTGAATAGGGTTAAATTATCTGTTATTTGTATTCTGATTAATCTAAAATGGGTTTAAGTATCTGCATACGGTCTTCGACATCGTCTTATTTACTGAGATTTTGTATTAGACTGAATGGTGATTCCAAATAAAAACAACTAATTAGCTGTCTTTCTAATTGTAGCTAGACATCTCCAGGGTTTAAGGTGGCTCCATAATTAATACAAGAGGATTAAGCTGTGACAAATTTTCCGTCATAACGTTTTCGATTTTAACGCGATGGCTGCGAAACTTTGCAAAAAACAACAGATATCATTTGGTAATAATACGAAATATTCCGATTTCATTGATGGTAAAAAGTTTCTTGAGAAATTAGCGCTTAAAAGGGCCCTACTGTTCAAAGAATATCGCGTCCAGTAAAAAATTTTGCTGATATATTTTACTGAAATTTCTGGTATCGACTTTAATTGATATAATAAATATGCCAGAGGAATTTCAGAAAAATCGTTGGAGCAGAAGTCCGTAACTCAAAGTCGCTCAAAATTCAGCTGTGAAATTGTTTTGGAATTTCAAAAATAAATTACTATCAGGAAGAAGGAAACACCAGTTTCAATTTTCGGTACAAGTAAATTCAGTGTTTGCTAATTCTGAAAACAGTAGCCGATTGCCTATCGTGCTATTCTTTAAAAGGTACTTTTCAGTTTTAGGGCCTGTTTACATGGAGGTGGGGGACCCCAGGTAGGTGAGGTAACCCGCTTAGGTGAGGTAAAAAAATAACCCGCCTTTACATGCAATCTTACAACCCCGCCTTCCCGGGTTGCACTTTCTCAAGATTATTGAATGGTCGCTAAGCACGTAAACAAGAAAAATGCTGGCAAACCACGAATTTTGGCGATTAATACACTTTTTCACTCACTTGTTGCTCTTGCTGCAACCCGTCAGTGCAATAGCTTTCTATTGTTAACTTTAATCATAATGCAAAGACACCGCGAAAGTGAATTTTGCGCGAATTTGATGTATCACGAATCCGACCCCGGCCAGGCGGGTTACCCCACCTTGAAACGTTTACATGACAAATTGTGACCCCGGCTGAGAGGGTAACCCGGTCTGGTAGACCGGGCTACCCGCCTTGGCGGGTCACCCCACCTATCATGTAAACGTGATCAAATGAAAATGAGAGATTATATGGACAGGCGGGTTTCCTCACCTAAGCGGGTTACCTCACCTACCTGGGGTCCCCCACCTCCATGTAAACAGGCCCTTAGAAGCACTAAAAATTGCTCCAAACTTTGCTCTGACGTCGAATGACTTGTTCCTCGACATTTTTAAAATATCTCAAGGCAGTTTTGGTTCAAACTCCTGCTGCATACATTTTGATGTATTGCAATGCATCCTCAACGGCTTTTCCTGCTGTACGTTGTTTCCAATTCAGGATAAAGGTATTGGGATTGTAAGCTACCTTGTATCGAAGCTCAGACAGAACTGTCCAGCACCTTTGTTTATGACTACAAAAATGAGCACGAGAGGCAGCTCTGCGAGGAATTCGCACCTCAGCCAGGGGGGACGAATGACAATGATGCCCATGTCTGTGAACCGATCTGTATAGACATGTATTGCAGAGCAAAACATAATAATCAAGAAAAAAATACCCATTCATTGAAGGGAGGAGTGACAAAAATTTCAGAGTTTTAAATTTATTCACGGGCAGTATTTTTGCAATAATTTTATTTTGCACTGTGATGTTATTCGGTTCACAGGCATAGGTATCATTGTCGTTCGTCCCCCCTGGGTGAGGTGCGAATTCCTCGCAGAACTGCCGCTTGTGCTCATTTTGTAGTCATAAACAAATGTGCTGGACTGTTCTATCCGAGCTCTGATACGAGGTAGTTACGGACTTCTGCTCCAACGATTTTTCTGAAGTTCCTCTGGCATATTTATTATATCAATTAAAGCCGATACCAGAAATTTCAGTAAAAAATATCAGCAATTTTTTTTACTAGACGCGATTTTCTTTGAACAGTAGGGTTCTTTTAAGCGCTAATTTCTCAAGAAATATTTACCATCAATGAAATCAGAATATTTCGTATTATTGCCGAATGATATCTCTTATTCTTTGTAAAGTTTCGCAGCCATCGCGTTAAAAAGCGAAAAGTTATGACGGAAAATTTGTCACAGCTAAATGGTCTTGTATTAATTACGGAGCCACCTTAAGGGTTAAAATGTTGGTAGAGGAAATCAGTTTGCCAATTCACATAAAAACTGTTGCGCTACATTGAGTCAACTTCAATCTTGAATGGAACCGTGTTTTGTACAAAGCCCGCCAGTTCTTTACAAAGAAATGTGAATCGCGTTTTCTCGTAAACGAAGTTAGCACCTTTTCGTACACCTTTTCGTGTCTTAAACCAGATTAAGATTGTGTTAATCCCAAATGAGAGAAGACAGCGACGCAACTTGCAAAGATAGTGGTGTCCAAAAGCCTGGTACTTATAAAATTTCCAGGACGCTGTAATACTAATCCTTAGCTAACCCAAAATAAGAAGATATAAAGATACAACAATGGCACGAAAGGTATAATAAAATAATAATACAAAAAAACTTAATTTAAACATTACTTACCAGTTTCTTCTACCAAGCATATTTTAAGTGGATTAGCATAGGTTGGTGAAGGTGGTGAAGATCGTAATAATCGTCGTAAGGAGCGGCGGCTGTGGCTAAGGAGAAGACGTTCTCTTTTCTCTATGGTTCCTAAATTTCAACGGAAAACATTTTGTTAGACGGATGTGTATATCCAATAATATGATATACAATTATAATTCTAAACTTCTCACATTTCCAAAAACCTAATGACAGGGACGTCAGCGAGGTCTGGGTATAAGTTTACACACTTCTTGACACCCCTTGAAAAAGGCTTTACAATAAAAAGCCATTTATGACAAAACGGGTAATATTGTGTTTTCGCATGACGTCATGGCGGCCATATTTGTGTCCCAAAACAATGAAACGGCGGCCATGATTGTGTCCCAAACCAGTCCTACGGGAGTTGAACTCTTTTCTTATGTAAACGCTTTCTTTTGTTCCAATAAATTTGCATAGATGCTGGCCACGTGACTGAAAACACAGAATACACATATAGAAGAAGAAATAATAATAGAATAAGACCACTATTTTAAGGGTCGAAGCAAGAATGTATACTAGTCATGCAATGCTTTCGAGTGGTATGCCGTGAGATATCACACGAGTGGCTACATTTTTCTTAGTACTTGGAAAAGTCAAGTAA